TCTTCTTCTATCTTCTAGCTGTGTATTCCTGTAGGGTCTCGTCCAATTCTCCTACTGCGTTTTCCTGTTCCAGAATTTGATCATAATCCTTTTCGGTCATGTCGGTTTGTTTGTTGTCATATTTTTGGATGTTGAAGTGTCTTGTTCTTTTGTCACCTATTGCTTGGGTTCCCTTTAAGCTTTTACCAGCTTCGAACCTGGGCCTGTTCATATAATTAATTTGCCTAGAACGGATACTAGGGTCGACCTCCATTGGTTCGGGCTTCGCCAATGGTTTAGGTGCCAATGGTCGAGGTGGTGGGGTTGGAAACCTGTTATTGACAGCTATGGTTCTTGGGAATAGCTGTGGTCTAAGTTGTTGGTACGGTAATTGGTATTGCTGTCGTGGTGGACCTTGATTAAAGAATTGTTGGTATAGATGTGGCTGTTGTCGCACCACTGGGACATCATTATACTTGATTTTGTTTCTGGGTAAGGGTACTGGTAAACTTTGTACTGGTCTAAAACCCTGATTTCTAAAGTTGGCATGAGCGGTCCTGAAATTTTGGTTCTCAAGCTTTAGGCACAAGTGTAGTGGCAGATCTTGTGGCAAATCTTCTTTAATACCAAGAAGTCTAGGTAGGTCTCCTCTTACGCCCCCAACAAAAGTATCTAAGGCCCTGTCCCTATAGAACTGTGTCATAACCTTTTCTGATTCTTTGGATAGTTCCATACATCCAACCTTGTTAAGTATCAAGGAGAGATGGTTGTAAATCTCCTGATAATATTCTTCTACCATTTGGCTATTTTGCACCATTGTTGTCATTTGGTGCACTAAAGTGTTTACGTCACGTTTGTCTGCATAATGCAGAGTCAGACATCTGGATATAGCGGATCAATCCAATGGCACATTATAGGACTCTAGTACCGCGTCTGCGTGACCTATGATTTTATTTCTTATGGTATGCAGGATACCGAAATATTTTGGGCTGTCCCTCATTGCTTCGTAAGCACTCAAGACTCTCTCTAATGACTTTCTACATTAATTAAATTCGGCTCGGTTACCAGAAAATTCTCGTAAGCACTTAACTATATCAGGCACTTTATCGAGGTCATTTAAGTTTTGTCTCTAGTCTGGTCTAATTGTTTCGACAGTCGCGTCAAAAAAATTTCCAGATGAATTCATTGACCTAACTAACGTGGGTATCTGCTCCTGCAATGTTTCTGCCTCCATTATGGTTATCCAACATTTAATCTCATTCATGTCTAGTGTATTGCGTTGACCTGAACTACTCGCGTTGGATGTAGAGGGCTGCGTGTTTAAGACGGGGGTCTAACTAGGTTATTCGGGTTCGACATAATAAATTTCTGTTATCAATCTCACAAAACAGGCTAAAATTTTTTTTTTTGTAAATTGGAAAAAATTAGTTTTTAAGAAATGTTTGCTTTGTAAATATTAAATATACTAGTTTGATCTTAGTGTTTTGTTAAAAATTTGGTGTGTTGTAAATATTAAAAATTAATTTTATGTTTCTTTTTTTTTTTTGATTAAATCGTAATACGAATCTTTTAAAAATTGTCTATATATTTTTTTCTTAATACTGTCTTACATTAAAATGTTGATCTGCATCCTTCCCGGTGATCTGCAGCCTCCCAGATTTACTCCTTTTTGCCTTTCGCTACTTGGGATCCAGTAGCACACACTTCGATTGGAGGGTGAGCTGCGGTTGTACCTTACAACTCAGAGCAGGATCAACTCCGATCTATTATTGCCGGCGTGGTAATTTTATTTATGTTGTTTTGCGTCGACCGGCAAAGTTTTTTGTGTAGCCGGGAGTCTGTTTCGATCGCGAAAGGTTATATTTAAAATTTGTTTTCTCTTCATAACCGTCACTCTGCAGAATTTTTCAGCACTTAACATGAACTTAGTTTTGTTGTACGTGTGGGGCGGTCCCTGTTCGGGCGCCAGTTAAAAACGAATTATCGATTTTTAATACAAAAATATTTTTATTTATTTACTCGGTCGAAAACCGTTTTATTTGATTGTAATTTTAATACTAATGATTATATTCTAAGCTGGCCCTAAAGAAAGCAGTGTCGCTGGCGTTCATCGCGGCAGAGGCTTCAGTGTCGCTGGCGTTGGTCGCGGCAGAGGCTTCGTTGCTGAAGAATCGCGGAAGTGTCGCAGACGTTAGGTCAGCGGATGCTCGTGTGGGTATGGATCAGCATTTTCGACAGGTGCGTTGCACCTCGTATGTAGAACATCTGTTTGGGCAATAGAGAGTGTCAGGTGACTTTGGGAATTTATGTTTTGTTAACTTACAAGCACTTGCACCACGTTGGGCGCCAAAAATCTATGTGGTGTAGTAACGCCATTGAAATAGGGAAACATTCACTGGGTATCCTGGTTCTTAATTCAATTCCAGGGTGTTATCCATTTCCAGGCTTGTCGACCATTAACCAATAGTTGAGCGGGACCCATTGATTCCTAGCTCTTTCGGGAGATGTGGGGGTTGTTTTGCTGCGGATAATGGTGGCTACACCAAAGGTTTTATTATAGAGTCCCTCCTAAATCTACACAATGAGACGATCCTCATACTAAAACAACCGAGGTCAGAACCAAACAAAACACGGTTAAATGGTTTTCTTCAAAAAAAAATTAACAGTAAAGCGAAAATTAATTAAGCTATAATGTGAGAGAAGAAAGCACGAATTTGTATTTAAGCCAGACGTGGTAGTTTTAGATGTTAATTTACACGTCCACTATCATTACCCTCCCAACAGTAGTCTGACGTATAGTGTATTTTTTTGAAAGACCCCAAATGTAATTAATTAATATGCATCACCTTATTATGCTCCCCTGCCATGAAAAAGTTAGACTTAGAATTTCATCTTAATACAAAAACAATTTTTAATGATCAATATGCTATTTTTTTCTTTCATTTCTTCTTGCGGTGTACATAATTATCGTTTTAGATAAAACAATCTACTCCTTTCATATTCTTGTCGCTTGCTTTCCTAAGTCCGCTTTACTTATTGATATTATTTTTTTTAAGCTCTCCTATTTCTTGTTTATTTATAAGAAAACATTTAAAGTGGTAGGGTGCGGATACGAATTTACAGGAGTAGCACGTATTGTGAAATATAGGTAATACGTTATTTAACAAAAATTTTGTTATATCTTTTAACTGTTGGTCAGGAATATATGAAATTGTTTTGTTCTGTTTTGTTGTGATTTTGGATTTATCTAGTTAATCGCATAATTGAAAGAAAACTAAAACTGCTAAAGGGAAAAAAATATGTACATGCAAATAAAGTCCATCTGAATTTCTCGCAGTAAGTCCCGTCAATATTTACGTTTCATTATAGAGATTTTAAATGAAAAGGAAGTGACAAAAGAGGCAAAGTAATATGCGCGAGCTGTTGATACACCTTATCTTAGGTAGCCAGCCTTTACACTGAGCGACATAATGGCGATTTAGTAACTTTGGGTTTTGGTGTTAACACTTACCCAATGTTGGTTATCGAAGAAGGCCTTCTTATCGATAAGGGGTTGCGTTATTAGTATCAATGAAACTATAACAGAACAATTTAATTTTTTTTTACATGATTGTTATTAACGGATTGATAGTATCTTGTTTTATATTCTTTTTTTTTTTTGTTTATGTTTTATTGTTAGCTATATATATGTTTTTTTTCTGTTTCATTATTATTTATTCATTTCGATTTTTAGGATAATGACTGCAACAAAACTTTTCTTTTTCAATGTGCGAATTTACTAGGGGTAAGCCAGGTTGTATTTCTTTTCTTCTTTTTATTAACTTATCATCTGCACATCCACATCACTATCATAAAATTCTGGCAACAGAACATTGTCTGTTTCCGATAATTATAATTAGGCGCGAGTATTACTGGTTTTTAAAAGACTTGCTATATAAGGCCATTACATATTATAACGTCGTCCATGTACACAACGACAGCATTAATGGCGATGAGCTTCCTTAGAACTGCCATGATGAAAGTGGTGAATACTGCAGATGAATTAGATATGCCAAACGGAATTGAGTCACGAATGATGTATATTTCCGAGAGCCCGGGTCGATTGGAACGTGGAAGAAGTTAAGTTCTCGTTAGACACAGCATAGTCGCTTCATTCCCTTTTTCTACCAAAACTTCTGTCGATCTGTACTCAGAGATACTCGGCAGAATGACGCTCTTAGCAAGCCACTCTTTATATCATTGTCAACTGTTTTTTGACCGCATACTGGTAAACAGCCTTGATGGATGCCGATACTTCAGAATTTCGTTCTTTAAGATGATTTTTATGAGTACTAGTCCATTTGCGTTGCGTTCGGGTGCAAACACTTCAATCAAAGTCTCGACCTCGACGTTCTGTGATTGATTTTAAAGTGACAAATCAAAATTATCTGAAAGTGCAACACGTTCTGCACACATGCCTTTAAGCTCTTGTAGAAACTCGGTCTCTGTGTTGCGCTGCTCCTAGTCGATATTTATACCCGATACTCGTAAAACAAAAGGGTATACTAGATTCATTGAAAAGTATGTAACAGATAGATGGGATCGTTTCCGACCAATAAAAGTATGTATATGCTTGATCAGGATCAATAGCCGAGTTGATCTGGCCATGTCCATCTGTCCGTCCGTCTGTCCGATTGAACACCTCGAACTACAAAAGCTAGAATGTTGAGATTAAGCACGCAGCTTCCAGAGGCTTAGACGCAGGGCAAGTTTGTTTCCAAATGTTGCCACGCCCACTCTAACGCCCACAAACCGCACAAAACTGTCACGGCCACACTTTTGAAAAATGTGATATTTTTTCATTTTTGTATTTATTTTGTAAATTTTAGTTTACTTTCAATACCATTTTCGGTTTTACTTCTTTCCAAATCTCCTGTGTTTCTGCTTTAATTCTGCTGATTTACAACTGCTTCTCTTGTTTCTTTCTTGCTCAGTCCCTGTTTCGTAATCGCAATACTCTCTCTTGCATTCATCTCTTCCAGGTGACCAATCCTCATTGTTCTGGACACACCGCCACTACTCCTACTTTATATTCGACTTCCGCTTTCCGTTGTGGGTCAACATGTTTTTATAAGATTCCTGTGCGCTTTGAATCTCGATCATTGCAACCTTTCTAAGTTGCTGCCGTTGCTTGTCATTCACCCTTTCAACTTGATCATTTCCACGGCGAAATGATTGTGCTCCAAACGTGCTCTATTCCGTTTTTCTTCTCATGTTCAGCAAACAAGACGACCGTTAAAGTGGAGCCATGGTTGCAAAAATTTCTGATCGCAAATACAAGGTGCGTTATGAAAGTAATGCGCATGGTTTCATTGTCACGTAACTACCTGTCGTAGCACGCTCGGACCTGTCTGAAAATTTGGGGCGGAGTCTCTCCTTTCCAACGCGCTCGGTCTCAGTTCGCTCTGAGCAATAGAAGTGGTAGGACGTGTCGTAGAGCGAAGTAATTTTTTCTGTTGTGTCACGGTGCGATGGAGCGTTCGCTGGAACAGCGGTACGCCATAAAGTTTTGTGTGCGACTTGGCAAAAATGCATCGGAAACTTATCAAATGCTTCGAGAGGCCTTTAAGGAGGAGTGCATTTCGAGATCTCAGTGTGGAAGGTGGCACAAGGCCAACAATTCTTCACAGCGCAAAACTCGAACGTTTTTCTGCTCCTCCGTCAACACCTTCGGCACAAGCGTCGCACAGACCTTTCGCATTTGCAAATCTTCCTTCACTATTCCATGTTCCGCAAATGTTGACAAGTTTAGGATGTCAGCGATTGCCCGGATGCTTAACCGACGGTCTGAACTCAAAGTTTCTCGCACACGGCGAACGTTTTCATCAATTCGTGCTGTTGTTGGACGTCCGGAACGTGGATCGTCGGTGACCTCCTCTCGACCCTCCTTGAAGGCCTTGTGCCACCTTCCACACTGAGATCTCGAAATGCACTCCTCCTTAAAGGCCTCTCGAAGCATTTGATAAGTTGTCAGACAGGTCCGAGCGTGCTACGACAGGTAGTTACGTGACAACGAAACCATGCGCATTACTTTCATAACGCATATGTACTTATACTGTACTTCATATGTACTTATACTGTTTTCCTGTGAAATAAACGTGTCGCGTGTGAACGGGTTTACAGTTTAAAAATCGTGCGGATTTTGATGCATTCATCCGAGTTATGTAAATACAAGTTTCATCTTCTTTAAACATTGCTCTGCAGTCTCGGCGTCGATAATTATATCACACATCAACAAATCTGCTTATCAGCTGTTGGAAAACGTGGTTAACGTAGCGAAAAAAACAGCTGGCGAGTTCCGAAATCCAAACGCGAAAGCAGTCTCTCAAAGCCATCGAATTCTGTTTCTTTGTCCTTTTTGCTCTCCAGTACTGAACGGCTTGAAAAGCTTGATGTAGATGGGCGAATGATTCCAGCAGCTAACCATTCGTCGATCTGCTTTTTGACATCCTTGGTATTTTGCTGAAGATGTACTTGCGCAGAATAGATACATCGGCTTCCGTATCAATAAGACATTTCACTTCCTTGTGTTGTTGGTGACCATTCTTATTCAGTAGAAGCAGTATATCTTCCTGTCGCTGAATTTGTGCGGCTTCTTTTGGTTCGACTCCACTTTCCATACTTCGGCTTGAACGGCTTCTCGGCCACACATCTCGGCTTCTCGGCTGCACACATTTGGTCGACTGAACTCCGTCTCCAGCAGCATACACATTTCTACCAAAGACACTAGAATAACAAGATGCGTAACGGCCATACATTGGTTTTGCTCTATGCAGCCATAGTGGCGGCATACTTTTTTGGTGACGGCAATAATTGCTCTCTCCCCGCTCGAGTAAAATTGAGAGCATAAGAATCTAAAAATAGAATTTACGGTCTTGTGAGTGAAAACAGTACGCAAAAAAGTGTGCATGTGTGCGTTGTGCTAAAAGACGAGAAACGAATTTGATTAATGTTTTGGTCAGTTTCGTTGTAATATGATCTAATAAAATATTATTTAAAAATTGATGCTGTGACTATTATTTTATTTAAAGTTATTTTAATATACCTTAGTTAAAATCGCCGCTAGAATTAACTACCGTTTACATATGATCTTTACCTATAAACTTTTTTTGAATACAAATCCGAATATATTATTAAGATTTGGAAAAATAGTAGCAAGCGATGAGCTCTATGTATTTGTCAACCTTAAGCAAACGAATTAAGAAGAACTAAAAGAAATTTAGCGGTTTTTAAAAATATCAAATTAGAATATAACAAAAATTCAACAAAATAATATACAATAAATATACATGATAATATAAATATACATATTTTTTTACTTGTATACTAGTAATTTGTACTAATAAATATACTAAATAGTTAAAAAAAAGTTCATATGCAACCAGTTTATTGCAAAATTGAATTCTTGAGGCTGGACCAGCGCACCTAAGAATCACTAACTTCAAATATTTTTTCCACGTCATAAGCTGAATACTCAAACGACAAATTTTCTAGTATAAAGTAATTTATGAAATTAATTAGGTATTATTATGAACATTTATTCACCTATTACTATTACTAGAATGTATAAAAATATCTATCATGTTAAGGTAATGCAAAATTAGAGTTTTTTACATAGTGTCAATCGATTACAAATAATATAGATTGAACGTCCATAAACTTCTGAAGTGACGGGCATATTTTGTTAAATTAACAATACATGTGCTCATACGTGTGCAAATTAATTATTGTCGCAGGGTGGCGTACCTCACAGACCTTTTCCCGCGCCGCACTAGTTCACTCCTGTCGTCCGGTTCTGGGCGTCGATGGTCTGCGTTGAGGTATCACGGTGGCCACCTTGCCGTTGTATTTTTTGGTGAATTTAGGAATACTACGTTGGAAGGGTGAAGTCAAGCTGTGAATGATAATAAAAGATAACGGCTATAACGGAGTTGTATTGGATCAGAGCTTGTGATCTTTATTCTTCGGATCTTCAAAACGAACTGAACATAATATTTCAGCTTAAAGCTAACACAAGTTGGGAGCTCATGGCGGCCTTGCAAAAGTGCTGTGTTTGCCGGCTATGCACGAGCATCCGATCAAATGCTGTGTAAGCCGCTGCTGACTTCCAGCACAAGGTTATGTCCTGTCTGGTTGACACTTGCACACAACAGTGGTGGACTATCGCAGTATGCGTACAAGAGAGCTGCTGGCTCTATAACGCTCTCTCTCTCTGGCTCTAGACGAGAAGCGACAGACCCCTATTTTTTATTAGTTATGTTTCGATAAGCTCCGGCTAAGACATATATTGTCCGACTTATGGTTTGCCTCTTTCGTTACCCGCATAGTTTTCTTCGGCTGTTCTGGTCTGTACGGAAATGATTTATGGTTCTGTGAGAGAAATGATCTAAGGTGGTTATCCAAGCGATAGAACTGATTCGATTGCGAAATTTAACGCATAAGTTGTTAATTGGAACTCCTTATTGCAACTGAGAAATATTTATTTTGATACTAAGTAAATTTATAGATTCTTAAAAGAGTCTAGAGCTTTGTTGTTTGGGGAAATTCATATTATGAATGATATTCTTTTGGACACGTTTGATTTTGCTAATTGCTACGTGATTTTGCTAATTACTCGTAGAGCAAAAGGGTATACTAGACTCGATAAAAAGTACGTAACAGGTTGAAGGAAGCGTTTCCGACCATATAAGTATATAATAGGTTGGAAAATATCTCCCTTCCGCTTTTTTGCTCTTTATTCAATGCTTTATAAAAAGTGTTACAGTGATCGGATTTAGTTCAAATATGCGCCGTTTTGTTCGATAATCTGTTTCCATCTAGATGGCAACTTCATAATACCTCCCTCGTAGAAGCCCCCCTCCTTATTTGCGAAGAACTCGGACAGCCACTTTTCACAAGCCTCTTTTGAGTTCAACTTTACACCACCAAGGGCATTCGCCATGGACAGGAACAGGTGGTAATCACTTGGCGCTATGTCCGGGCTATATGGTGGATGCGATAAAACCTCCCATCCGAACTCCCTTAGCTTCTGACGAGTCATCAACGAAGTGTGTGGTCTGGCGTTGTCCTGGTGGAACACTACACCCTTCCTGTTGGCCAATTCTGGACGCTTCTGGTCGATCGCCTGCTTCAAGCGGTCCAGTTCGCAGTAGATGGTAGAATTAAGCGTCTGGCCATATGGGAGCAGCTTATAGTGGATGATTCCCTTCCAATCCCACCAAACACACAGCAAAACCTTCCTGGCCGTCAATCCCGGCTTGGCCACTGTTTGGGACGATTCACCGGCCTTCGACCACGACCGTTTTCGCTTGATATTGTCGTATGTGATCCATTTTTCGTCGCCAGTCACCATCCATTCAAAAGACAAAAAGGCGGAAGGGAGATATTTGCCAAACTAATATATTCTTCGTCAGGATCAATAGCCGAGTCGAACTGGACATGTCCGTCTGTCTGTCCATCCGTATGAACGTCGAGACCTTTGGATCTATAGCAGCTAGAAAATTTATATTGGGAATGCAGATTCCAGAGGCATAGACGGAGCGCATGTTTTTTAAATGATGTGGCCACGTCCACGGTGAAAAACTGCCACGTCCACACTTTTAAAATTTGTTGAGATATTTCTTATTTTTTTTATTAGTCTTATAAATTTCTATCGAATTGATATTAAAACTTTTTGCCATGCCTTTTGGCCCTGACTATTATAGCGGTAATTGCCTATATTGAAAATGTTAAGGTACAGCTGCAGGCTGTGTAAGTTGCTAACCGACGTAATTATAGTTTTTTCGTCGTAACGTTGTTGCTTTCCGAATTGGTAATATCGAATTCTTGGGGGCGAAATTGGTAGTTGTCTATAAAATTGAGTGTTGTAAGGATCAGGTAATGGTTTTGAATTCTGGTTCCTAAATTGTCTTGTCAGTCCCATGTTTGTATCCCATTAGCCATCACATCAATCACTAAGTGAAGCTGAATTAAATGATGTCGAGCTTCATAAAAATAAAAATGATGGAGTTC